GGAGGAGGAGGAGGAGGAGGGGGGAGGAGGAGGGGGGGGAGGAGGGAGGAGGAGGAGGAGGAGGAGGAGGAGGAGGAGGAGAAGGAGGAGGAGAAGGAGGAGGAGGAAGGCGAGGAGGAGGAGGGGACCGCAGGGCTGCGTTCCAGCAGCTGCGCCTCGCCGGGAGCGTCCGGGGGGGGTGCCCGTGGCCCGAGAGCCGACCGTGGCTCTTCGCCAGAGCGGTGGCCTCTGGTGCCGTTGGTACGTGGGGCCTCGGGGGATACAGGCACATGACACACTCCGTTCCTCTTCGCCAGAGCGTGGGGCCTCTGGTGCCGTGGGGCCTCTTCGCCGAGCGGTGGCCTCTGGTGCCGGGGGATGCAAGCCTGGTTGGATAATATAGGGGGGGCCTCCCATGCATCCCCCTGCCCGGAGGCCGAAACATCGCTTTTTGTGGCCATGCTGGACGCTCTTGGGGCGCTCTTGGGTTTTTTGGGCTGCCCCTGAGCCCTTCTCGACCTCTCTTGGGGCTCTCTCCGAGCGGTGGCCTCTGGTGCCGTTGGTACGTGGGGCCTCGGGGGATACAGGCACGTGACACACCCCGTTCCTCTGTTTTGTTAACAATCTCAGGGTGTAAGCGTCCAGCTGGCAGGGCTGGGATGATGTAAGATACTTCGCAGCGGCTGCAAGTGAGGAGTACAACGCCTCTCAAATGCAACCGGTTTTTTCCACCAGTGCTTAAGGGACAAAAAAAAAGAGTGGCCTCTGGTGCACGGCATTCCCGGAGCGCGGTGGGGCCAGTCCAAAGCACGCAGGCCGCTGCTGTCACGTCGCACGCAGCGGTCGACGAGCCGCGCACCACTGGTCTTGAGTCGGGCATGTCCCTCTACAGGAGGAGTGCTCAGAAATAGTCAAAGAGTAGTCTGGGGACGAATTTTTTGACTATCTTCGAACATGTTTTGGGCATTTTTTGGATCATGTTTTATCTGTCGAAGATCCCCCTGTAGGGGGACAGGCCCGACGTAACGCTGGTCGCTCCTGCCCGGGAGAGGGGTAAGAGGAGGAGGAAGAGGAGGAGGACGAGGAGGAGAAGGATGGGGAGGAAGAGGAAGAGGAGGACAAGAGCGAGGAAGAGGAGGGCGAGGAGGATTAGGAGGAGTAGGATGGGAGGAGGAAGAGGAGGAAGGAGGAGGGGAGGAGGAGGAGGAGGAGGAGGAGGGAGGAGGAGGAGAGGAGGAGGAGGAGGAGGGGAGGAGGAGAAAGAGGAGGAGCAAGGAGAAAAGAGGCACCCCTGCGTGCCCCCGAGAGGCTCGAGGATCGAGCTCCTGGGGCCTGTTCGCCGGGCCTCTGGGGAGGCCTCTCGTCGCCGCGGCGGGGCTCCCTCGACGCGCCCCTGGACACGCTCCTCCTCCTCCTCCTCCTCCTACCTCATCCCTCCTCCTCCTCCTCCTCCTCCTCCTCCTCCCGCTCCTCCTCCTCCTCCTCCTCCTCCTCCTCTTCCGCTTCCTCCCCCCACTCCTAGCCCTTTCGATCAGGGGAGCGTTCCCTTCGGAGCCGCGAGGAAGAGAAGGGTTCCGGAGGAGAGTACACCCACGGCGCTCAATGAGAAAGTTGGTTTTTCCGTTCAGCGGCTCCCCTCGACGCGCCCCTGGACACGGGAGCGTTCCGTTCGGAGCCGCGAGGAAGAGAAGGGTTCCGGAGGAGAGCAGGGAAAAAAACAGTGATTTGAACTGTGCTTTGACGGTGGGCCCTGGGAGGGCCCCGGGAGCCAGAAGATATAGAAACACCTCCAGGACCCCTCTCTAGGGGAACAAAAAGTGACATAAACATAAAAGTTCGGAGGTCCGCTCGCAGTTTTCTCGGATCGGCGCCGGGAACGTTCCCTTCGGAGCCGCGAGGAAGAGAAGGGTTCCGGAGGAGAGTACACCCACGGCGCTCAATAAGAAAATCGGTTTTTCAGTTCAGCCCCTGTATTCGAGATGCCTGCGAATGCGAATCCGGTATTCAAGATGCCGGCGCGCCAACACGTGCCCCGGTATGCAAGATGTCTGCGAGTGCGGGAGGAAAGGTCTCGGGGAACAGAGAGTGACGTAAGCATAAAAACTCGGAGGTCCGCGCGCCTTTCTCGGATCAGCGCTGGGGCCCCGCGGCGGCGCCTCTGGCGCCACCCCCGGGCGCGCTCCCCGCGCCAGGGAGGGGGATCCAGCGCCGACCCGAGAAATCCGCGCGGACCTCCGAGTTTTTACGTTTACGTCATTTTTTGTTCCCCTAGAGAGGGGTCCTGGAGGTGTTCCTGTATTTTCTGGCTCCCGGGGCCCTCCCAGGACCCACCGTCAAATCACAGTTCGAAACACGGGCTGGTTCTGGGGAAAGCCCAGTGGTCCCGGACCCGTTCTCCTGATTTTGTCAGGCCAGTGCGCCAACCGGAGCGGCAGCTGCTGCGACTGGACGTGCCAGGACGTGCCACTGGAGTCCTCGGAGCAGGACCTTCAGACTTGGGCATCGCAAGACTACTGTGACGGCTGATTTTCACGTTTGTCCAGCCCAGCCCCAGGACCGTCAAACAAAAATTCAGGATGGAAAGTCGGACTCCAGGATTGGACGTCGAGAACTGCGGAGTCGGGCCAGAGGCCGCAGTACTTTGGGCGAGTTCGCAACTATGGCGGAAATCCCCGCGCTACGTTTCAAGGTCCTTGGATGCCGATTTCCGCCCTACTTTGCCGTTGCTGTTTCGGCAACGCATTTGCGGAAATATTCGCCTTGCGCTGGAATGTCCGCTTGTTTGTCCGCAGTATTTTGGATGCATGTCTGGCATACTTCTGTGTTTGGAAATCAACCGAAGTATTTCGGATCCGGAGTCAGGGCATAGACACAGAGAGTCGAACATATCCGTTATGGGAAGTAGTCGAATCTGTATGTCGGCTGGCAAAGCTTCCAGTACGCAGAGAAGACGCTCCCACAATGGAGGTCGAACCTCCAATTTGAATGTTCTTGATCTTCTGCAGGGGTCTGGGGAGCGGCGGTATCGCCCGATCCAGTGCCACCCACGATCCGATTCGATGCGATTCGATTTGACGGCTTGGGCTGCGATTCCGATTCGATTCAATTTTGTCCTCACCGCCACCATGGGCTGGGGCCAGCCGCAGCTTGGCGCCGCGATCCGGGTCCGATTCGACTCGGGACGATTCGCTGGCGACGAGACCCGTTTTCGACCCTGTGCCATTTTTCGCGACTCGATCCAGCTCTAGTTTGCCTACCTTTCGGTTCTACCGAACGCCCCTGAGAGGGGGCAAACACCGCCGCCCAATATTGGGTAGTGAAGGCGGACCCGGGGAGCCCAAACAGCGGAGGCAGCGACAGGGCTTCAATCTGGCAAAAGAGGGGGCTCCTCAGTATCGAGACAGTTACCCAAGGAGGCCCCGCCGCACAGGCCACCCGGATGTCACAGCAAAGGGAGGCTCGGCGAAAGAAGGGAGCCATGCCTGCCCACCTTTTGATCCCATCGCTGCGCTCAACACTGCATGTAGTGCTTCGTGGCCGTCGGCCAGACAGGATCGTGGACAAGAGAGGCCCTGTGGAGGCTTGTTTTTGGGGGGCCCCTGTCTTGGGAGGCCTCCTCGGGGGCCTCCTGGCGGCACTTCTGGGCCCCGCGGCTCTGCTGCTGCCCCCCCCCAGGAGCTGTCACCTTGCAGCGCGGAGAGCGCTTAGCACCGAGGCCACATCCCATCACAGCAGAGTGGTGGGCCGCGCATAACAGCAAAAACGTCCACGTCTTGAGCCAGTTACTGCACCTCATTCGGGGGCCTCCTGGCGGCCTCCTGGCGGCATTTCTGGGCCCCGTGCGAGAAGGAGAGAGAGAGAGAGAAGAGAGAGAGAGAGAGAGAGAAGAGAGAGAGAGAGAGAGGGAGAGAAAAAAGAGAGAGAGAGAGAGAAGAGAGAGAGAGAGAGAGAGAAAAAGGGAGAGAGAGAGAGAGAGAGAGAGAGGGGGAGAGAGAGAGAGAGAGAGAGAGAGAGAGAGAGACAGGGAGGAAGAGAGAGAGAGAGGGCTCTGCTTGCTGCCCCCCCCAGGAGCTGCCGCGGCCGTGGGCAGGCGGGGACACGTGCGACGGCGCCGCGGCGACCTGCGAGGATCGGCGGTCCGCGCCCGCGGCGGTGTGCGCGCAGCGGGGTCGGCCCTCCGAGGAGGCGGGGGGAGGCAGGAGGAGGAGGAGGAGGAGGCAGGAGGAGGCAGGAGGAGGAGGCAGGAGGAGGAGGCAGGAGGAGAGAGGAGGAGGAGGAGGAGGAGGCAGAGGAGGAGGAGGAGGAGGAGGGGAGGAGAGAGGCAGGAGGAGGAGGAGGAGGAGGCAGGAGGAGGAGGAGGAGGAGGAGTAGGAGGAAGGAGGAGGAGGAGGAGGAGGCAGGAGGAGGAGGAGGAGGAGGATAGGAGGCTGGAGGAGAGGGAGGAGGGGAGGAGGAGGAGGAGGAGGAGGCAGGAGAGAGGAGAGGAGGAGGAGGAGGAAGGGAGGAGGAGGAGGAGGAGGAGGAGGAGGAGGAGGAGGAGGAGGAGGAGGAGGAGAGGGAGGAGGGAGGAGGAGGAGGAGGAGGCAGGAGGAGCCAGGAGAGGAGGAGGAGGAGGAGAGGAGGAGGAGGAGGGAGGGTGAGGAGCAGAAGGAGGAGGAGGAGGAGGAGGAGGAGGAGGAGGAGGAGGAGGAGGAGGAGGGGAGGCGGAGGAGGAGGGAGGTCAGGAGGAGGAGGAGAGGCAGGAGGAGGCAGGAGGACGGCAGGAGGCAGGAGGAGGAGAAGGAGGAGGGAGGAGGAGAGAGGATGAGGAGGAGGAGGAGGAGAGGAGGAGGAGAGGAGGAGGAGGAGGAGGAGGGAGGAGGAGGAGGAGGCAGGAGGAGGAGGGGAGGCATGAGGAGGAGGAGGAGGAGGAGGAGGAGGGAGGAGGAGGAGGAGAGGGAGGAGGGAGGAGGGAGATGGAGGGGGAGGAGGAGGAGGAGGAGAGGAGGGAGGTGGGAGGAGGGAGGAGGAAGGGGAGAGGGGTCGGCCCTCCGAGGAGGCGGGGGGGGGCCCTTTTCGGGGGATGGACGGACCTCCTGTCCTGACACGTCGATTGGCGTCGCCTCCTCCTCCTCCTCCTCCTCCTTCTCCTCCTCCTTCTCCTCCTCCTCCTCCTCCTCCTCCTCCTGGATTGGCCGTGTTCCGTTCGCGAGAGGGCGTCGCGGCCGTCATTTTTGCGGGTCCAGGTCCGTCGGCTTCGGTCCCAGGCCGTTTTCACAGAGGGGAGGTTTACTAAAGGGAGGTTTGTCCACCGCCGACTCTTAGAAGGCAGGGGCGCCCTTTTGGAAGGCCTCGTACCCAGACCTCCAGCGTCCCGAGAAACTCGAGACCGAGGTTACTCCTTCTTTTTCGGCCTCTGGGGGCCCTCGCAGGGCTTAGGGTTACCATCAAACAACGGCTCATGATACAAAGCCGCCGGCCCCAGGAAAAGGTCCAGACCTCCGGGGACCCCGCATTGAGAGACTCAAGACATCGGATGTCTGGAGAGTCGCCCAAGAGCATGGCTCTCCCCCGAGATCTGGGCGCTGCAGTTTTTTCAGCACCTGGCGTCGCGTTCGCCCCGAAGCCCATCGGGGTTGCACTTTTCGCAACGCCGGATTTTTTGATTTGCGCGCGGGTGATCGTCTGCCAATCACTCCTGCCCGAAGTCGACGACAACGAGCGAGGGGCCCGAGAGGGACCGAAAGGGGGAACGAGGGACGGACCCAGGAACCCAGACACAGGACGAGCGAAGGGACCCGACCGAAGAAACAAGGGACACGAAACCTCGAGGGCCTCGAGCAGTGCACCATTCAAAAAACGTCCAGGGACGGAGGCGTCAACACAGGACGCTTGGCCTCAGAAGCCGGGAGGAGGGCTGGCTTCTGCGAGGCCTGCACATTCCTCCTCAGAGGCCCCGCCGCCTTCTCAGGACTCCGCCGCGCGAGGGCAAGCCCCTTGCCCTTGGGCGGTCAACACAGCAGGGATGAGCAACTGTGGTTTTTCTCATTTTTTCTCGCTTCTTTCTCCCTTGTTCCCTCCCTGGCGCTCTCTCCTCCTCGCTCCTTCCGCTCGTTTCCCGTGCGGTACGCGCGCTCATCCTGCGGGCCACGGTTCAGTGCATGTGTTTGCCTATCGCGGATCGGCTCGTGTGGTGATTCCCAGTTTGCCTGGCGACCTTTTGATTCGCACAGCGGTCAAGGCCGAATCGGGTGAAGCTGTGTGGTCGCGCTCTTCTTTCCTCCCCCACAATCACCTGGTGACGTACCCAACCCTTGCTTACACGGGGTAGCTCTATTAGATTAAGCACCGCTCAATACAACAAAATAATGAAATTCGCGCACTTCGCAGCCTCCCAGGGAGCCGCAAGGTCTAGGCTGGGTCCGCGTGGACCTCCACTCCGCGGTACCTCCCAGGAGACCACGAAATTGGCGACAGTGCACCTGTTCGCAGCCCCCCTGGGGGCCGCGAGGTCTCGGCAGATCTGCGTGCACCTCCACTCCGCTGGACCTCCCAGGAGCCCGCGAAAATGGCGACAGTTGCGCGGTTCGCAAAGCCGCAGGGAGCCGCGAGGTCTCGGCAGATCCGCGTGGACCTCCACTCCGCTGGACCTCCCAGGAGCCCACGAAAATGGCGACAGTTGCGCGGTTCGCAACCCCGTAGGGAGCCGCGAGGTCTCGGCAGATCCGCGTGGACCTCCTCTCTGCTGGACCTCCCAGGAGCCCACGAAAATGGCGACGGTTGGATACAGTTGCGCGGTTCGCAACCCCGCAGGGAGCCGCGAGGTCTTGGCAGATTTGTGTGGACCTCCACTCAACTGGACCTCCCAGGAGCTCGCGAAATTTGCGACAGTTGGGTACAGTTGCGCAGTCCGCTGGACCTCCCAGGAGCCCACGAAAGTGGCGACAATTGCGTGATGCTCAACCCCAAGGGTCGCAGCCCCCCTGGGAGCCGCGAGGTCTCGGCAGATCTGCGTAGACCTCCACTCCGCTGGATCTCCCAGGAGCCCACGAAAATGGCGACAGTTGCGCAGTTCGCAGGGCCCGCGAGGTCTCGACGAGAGAGGGGACGACTCAACAGGAAAGAGAGGGGGTGGGGCGGTGACTGGACGAGGGGGAGGCGGGGAGGAGGGAGGAGGGAGGCGGGAGAAAGGAAGGAGGAGGAGGTGGGTGGGGCCCACACTGCTCTATTCAAAGCGAGAACCCAACCAAGGGAGGGTTGGGAAAAAAAAAGATGAGCAACTTTCCAAGGTTACCCTTGCATCCTTGCCTCTTCGGCCCATTCTTGCATCCTCAGGCCCAGCCTTGCCCCTTCGGTCCAACCTAGCCCTGGTCGAAAGAAACGCCAGCATTGCCGTCTGAGGCCCCTTAGCACACCTCGCATCCTCGTTATGCGTTTTGACTGCAGCGAGGAGTGCCTGGGGAGCGGCTGCCACGGCTGGATGGCCGGGGGCGGGTGCTGCGCGGCCAAGGCTGACTGCCTCCTGGTGGCGGCGGGGGACAGACACTTCTACACGTCGTGCGAGGCTCAGGGGCAACGTTCGGGGGGGCATGAAACCCTCCACTCGAGACGAAGACCCGACACTGGAAGAGGAAGAGGAGGAGGAGGAGGAGGAGGAGGAGGAGGAGGAGGAGGAGGAGGAGGAGGAGGAGGAGGAGGAGGAGGAGGAGGAGGGGGCGTCTCTGGTCCGAAACTTGTGCTTATCGGAGGAGGACGGGTCGAGACAGCGGCGGCCCCCCCTGACGTGTCTGCTTCTCCTTGGACCTCCTGGAGGCTTCACGTCGCCACGGCTGGATCCGCTTGGGTACTCCAGATTTCGTCATAAAAGGGAGGGGGTCTGGACCCTCCAAGACGAGCCATTTCAGACCTCCCCCGTGGGAGAACCCTCCCAAACATCGTCCCCAGACCCCCCAGGCCCTCCAAGATAGCCTGGAAGGGACCCCCCCCGAAATGAGACCCCCCTCCCTTTATTACGAAATCTGGAGTAAGCGGGCAAGGACGGACCCCAGGGGTGGGGTCCGGGGACGGATTGCGAGAGGATCTGTGTCAGGCGCGACGCGCCTGCCAGTGCCCAATCCCCGAGCGTCCGCGTCCCGGGCCTTGCCCGGCCGCCCCGCGGAGCGGCTCGGCGCGGCACCCGCCCTTGCGAGGCACAGCGTGCCATTGGGGCCGCCTCCGCGACATGCTAAGCAAAAGTTCCTGACCCTACAAGCCTCGTCAAAAATAATCAGAAACGCAGTTGGAAATCACGACGATCGATCTTCTCGGGCACTTGTTAGAAACTGCGTTCTTCAATGCTGCAGAGGGGTCGTCGGATTCTTGAAGCCCTTGCGTCCACGTCAGATACCTAGCGTCAGCATTGGAGCAGCGCTGACCAGACAATTACCGAAAACAGAACCTTCAGTTCATTTTTGACGAGGGTGGTAGGCTCAGGGGGGGGGGGGAACGCATCGACCCCTTCTCGCCCACTCATCGCCGATAGGGGCCCAGTGGCCCAGTCCGCCCAGGACCGTGCGGAGTTCGCCGACCTGGTGGCGGTGCACCGCCGATGCCAGGTCGACGTGCCCGCCCCCGAGCTGGCCTTCCTCCTCCTCCTCCTCCTCCTCCTCCTCCGTAGCCATTTTGGCTCAAGAGTCCATGTCAGGAGGGGGGCCCCGCGCACGCGCTCCCAGCTCTCTTGCATGTCGATGGTGGCGTCTCTGGCCCCTGCTGGTGGGGTGGAGCCTATGCAGTGATATGGTGCACACGCGGAGCGCCCGTGCCCGCGAGGCTCGTCTTCTTCGAGCCGTGCGACTTAAATACGTTCGCCCTCGCCCCTTTCAACGTCGGTATGTCGAGGTCTCTGAACCCCTTGTTCATAATGCACGTGCCATGGTTCACGGACTTCATCTGCATGCTGAACTGCAGCGAAGAAATGGTTTTCGGTCTCATTTGCTACGTGACGCGGTTGCTGCGGCTGGCCCGACGCTCTCCCCCGAGGAGCGGAAGAAGATGCTGAAGGATAACTCCATTTCTGGCCGAGCTAAACATCGCGTCCCTCTTCTTGCTGCTGATGCTTCTCTTCCGCCTCCTCGCGAGGCGCTGCATCCTGAAGTCGCTGCTGATGCATCTCAGCCTGTGGTGCGAACCCCTCTGGTTCTGCATGATCTGCTCTTTCATCGTCGAACGCTGTTACTCCACGATCATCTTCCTCATCGCAGTGGGCTCTCGGCGGATGTCGCGAATTTGTGCGAGCTGGTGCAGACGATGGTCAAGGCTGTGGGCGTGCTGGCGCAGCTCTTGCCGCACTACTACCCGCCGATGTTGTCCCCGTATTTGCCCTCCGTTGTGGGGTTCTGCGAGGGCGCCGACCTTGCGAAGGTGGCGACTTTTATTGCTCAACTGCCTGGCCAGCATTTGTCTGATGATGTGAATGGTGCTTTGCATAGTTCGGGTATTCCACAGCGCGCTGCCGATCGAGGTGGCGATGCATGTTTGCCTGTGTGCGCCGACCCCTTCGACTGGAACATCGATAATGAGTTCGAGCTTCGGAGGTTCGAAGACGCGGCTCTCCGAGATTCGGATGCTGATGCTCATGCAAGCGAATTTGATGTTCACGATGACGGACTTCCTGCAGTCTCTCTTCCGCCACATGTTTTTGGTGGAGCTGCCGTTCCTCATGGAGTTCGTTCTGGTGGTGCGCGCGATGCGGATGGTGACGCTGCTCTCGACTTCCGTGGTGATAACTCTTCTCATGCCGAGGCCGCTGATTCTGACCTGGCCGAGGCATCTGATGAAGCAGTTCTGCGTGAGCACGTTCGTGCAGGTGCAGCCGCTGCTTCTGATGGCGTTCATACTATTCTTCCTGGGGCTATCGATCCATACGGTGGTGGAGATGCTCAGTTCGTTCTTCGGCTGGGTCTTCCGGGAGATGCGGCTGCGGTTCTTCGTGTCGGTGCTGGCGGTGCCGCCGACGCTGTTGCCTGCATGGGACAGGCGCCCGCTGCTTCTGGGTGCGGCTCGCTGCCTCTGCATGTTGATGGTTCTTGCTCTGGCGCCCCTGGCGCTGCCTCGGCGTCCTCCGCCGAATTTGTCGACTTTGGGTTGAACGATGGCAATGCCGAAGCCGTTCTGCGTGAGCATGTTTGCGCTGAGGCGCCCGCTGCTGCTGGTGGCGTTTCTCTTCACCTTCCTGGTGGTCGTGCGGCTGCTGGTTTCGAGGTATTCGACTTCCACTGCCTGGAGATCTTCGATGTCGGTCCGCGGATTGCGACGAAGGTGGCATGCAGGTACTTTCCTGATTGCCGCTCTGGTGCGGGCTGCTGGTACTCCCATCTCGAATCGATCACCGAGGCTGCGGTTGCTGTGGAACACGTTCGCCTTTCTCGGCTATGTCCTGATATTGCTTCGGCGACGCCCCTGGCTACATCTCTATGGCGTGAGCGTGCTGCTGGTCGTAGTGCTCTCGAGATTCATGTGCTGTCTCGGGGAGCCGTTGACCCTGCACGTGGTGCTCCTCTCCCTCCTGAGCGTCTTCCCGAGCTAGTTGGTGATAGTAAAGTTGACGGTTACGATTTGGACTGGGCTTGCCTCGACCAAGACCGTGCAGCTATACACGAACGGGCTGACGACCTCGACCATATTGAGCAACATCCTGATACGCTATTCTGTTGGTGCGACGCTTCTGGGGACGAGGCTGCCGCTTTTCAACAAGCTCGGCGCGATCGAGTGCGCGAGGCTCTGGGTGATTGGCCATGGCTTGCTGCACGTCTTCCTGATACGCTCCTACCTGAGGGGCGCCACCAGGACGAGCTCCTGCCCGACGTCGAAGATCACATGTGGGTGCCTGCTGGCCAGGGCCTCGTCCGTTGCATTCCACTGCGATGGACCGCGGCGTCGACTGGAGTGGCCAGGCTTGCGGTTCGTTCGTCGACTACGGGTTCCTGTGCTTCGAACTCTTTTTCCTCGCGTGCCTCGGGGTCGTCCCAGGTATGCTGCTCTATTCGTGAGGCTTCGCCCTCTCTTCATTCCCTCCCTGAGGGAAGCGGCTTCGAGTAGATTTCGGAGGTTTCGGATAGATTCTTCTTTACGCTGGGCTCCTCCTCCTCCTCCTCCTCCTCCTCCTCCTCCTCCTCCTCCTCCTCCTCCTCCCCCTCCTCCCCGATCGCTGCCCCTCGGCAGGCAGCGGCGAACGCAACCCGGCGCGCCGAGACGTGCCCCGGCATTCAGGACGTCTGCGAGTGCGGGAGGAAAGGTTTCGGGGAACAAAAAGTAGTGGCACAAGCATAAAAATTCGGAGGTCCGCGCGGATTTCTCGGATCGGCGCTGGGGCCCCCCGGCGGCGCCTCCGGCGCCGCGCCTTCCGCGCGGACCTCCTAGTTGTTATATTTACGTCACTTTTTGTTCCCCTAAGGTTGTTTCCCCCAGGAGGTCGGAAATGGGGAGTTCGCCTGCTTCGGGGACTATCAGGGGGTGGCGGGCAGGATGATCCGTCCAGAGGAGTGCGAGGGCTTCTCTGGCGGCGGAAAGATTCCTGGACCCCGACCTGCAGACCAGATCACGGACACGCCGATCCAATAGGACATCAAGACCAGCAAGATCTCTGAACCGCCCGCCGGTGGCTGACGACCAGGACCCTCCTGAAGATGCCAAAGATGTGAGGCGGCCGCGCGTATCGCGGCCGTGGCCCATGCCTGCCTTGCCCTGAGATCCGACGTTGCGACCAAAAGTACAACGTCGCGAAAAAACACGACCCGAGCCCTCTTGACCTCATCTTTCTGCGGCATTTTTCGAGCCGGATCGGCCTTTACTGGCCCCGGGGCCCGAAACTGGACGAAGAAACACCTGGCGCGAGAGTAGGCGGCGTGCTCTGCCCTTTCAGCAGGTGCCGACCGTCCTGGCACTCCTGTAGGCCGACCACGACACGACATGCTCGAGGAGCAAGATACTGCTTTAAGAAGAAACCGATGTTCTCAGAACATGAGCTCGATTGATGAAGACAGTACTGTCTCAGCCAGGAACGTTCTAGGAACACGTCGTGCAAGCCAGATGACCTTCTTAGGAAATTCCTTGGTGCTCCCCTGCGCAAGTCAGGTCGCTTCGCCACTGATTGACCTCTGGCTCCTCTGCGGCCTCCCCCACCTCCGCCACGCCTGCTCGCCGTCTTCATCCTCTGGCGCCCACGTCGCCTCTCCGCATGCAGGAGGAGGAGAAGGTCAGCTACAGGAGGAAGAGGAGGAGGAGCAGGCGGAGGATGAGGAGGAGGAGGAGGTGGAGGAGGAGGAGAAGGAGGAGGAGAGGGAGGAGGGAGGAGGAGGAGAGGCAGGGGATGAGGGAGGAGGGAGGAGGAGGAGGAGGAGGAGGAGGAGGAGGAGGAGGAGGAGGAGGAGGAGGACGAGGAGGAGGACGGAGAGAGGAGGAGGGAGGAGGAGGAGGAGTGGGAGGAGGAGGACGAGGAGGAGGACGAGAGGAGGAGGAGGAGGAGGAGGAGGAGGCAGGAGATGGAGGAGGAGGAGGAGGAGGAGGAGGGAGGAGGCAGGAGATGGAGAGGAGGAGGAGGAGGGAGGAGGAGGAGAGGGAGGAGGAGGAGAGGAGAGGAGGATCAAGAGGAGGAGGAGGAGGAGGAGGAGGAGGAGGAGAGGAGGAGGAGGAGGAGGAGGGAGAGAGGAGGAGGAGGAGGAGGAGGAGGAAGGAGGAGATGGAGGAGGAGGAGGAGGTGGAGGAGGATCAAGAGGAGGAGGAGCAGGAGCGGGAGCAGGAGCGGGAGCAGGAGCAGGATCTGGTCCGATTGGAGCAGTCACCTGCAGCGCCGAGGGCCCCAGACGCCTCGGCCCCTTCCTCTGCGGGCTCATGGCTTCCGCCTGGGGCCCATCTCCGACGGTCCCCCCAGGAGGGTCGGGGGCGGCAAAGAGGGGGGTTCCAGGGTGGAGGAGGAGGAGGAGGAGGAGGGGGAGGAGGAGGGGGAGGAGGAGGAGGAGGAGGAGGAGGAGGAGGAGGAGGAGGAGGAGGAGGAGGAGGAGGAGGCGGAGGAGGAGGAGGAGGAGGGGAGGAGGAGGAGGAGGAGGAGGAGGAGGAGGAGGAGGAGGAGGAGGAGGGGAGGGAGGGAGGAGGAGATGGAGGGCGGCACGGCGAGGGGCGGCACGAAGGAGGGCGGCGGCAGGCCGGCGGCAGGCCGGCGGAGGCGGAGGTGCCCCGGGTTGCCTCTCGGGGCTCCCGAAACTCGGGGGCGGAAAAGAGGTCGGGAGACTCTCCATGGGGGGGGATCCCATGGAGGGGCAGGAGGGGATGCCCCCCATGGGGTCCCCTCCTGCCCCCCATGGGATCCCCAGGGGATCCTATGGGATCCCCCCCCTGGGATCCTATCCCCCCATGGGATCCCCCCCCATGAAGAGTCTCCCGGCGAAACTCGGGGGCGGAAAAGAGGGGGGTGATGACTAGGGGGAGGTGGATATCATGGCGCGGGCCATGATTTTTCCTCATACTTGTATGCCGCCTCTTCTCATTTCAGCACGTCCAGGCCCCCCCCCCCTGGGCCGCGCACCGGCCATGATTTGCGCCCCCCTCCCCTCTTGGACGCCCCCCTCTTGGCCGCTCCCGAGAGAGCGCCCGGGAGCGGCCCTCCAGGAAAGAAGCGCCGCGGCACCTCGAGGAAGGCCCATCGGGGGGAACGACGGGAGAGGATGGGCATATGGGAGGGATGCGTTGACCTCGAATGGTCGATGCATCGACGATGCATCGTTGCCCATCGGGGGGAACGACAGGAGAGGATGGGCATATGGGAGGGATGCGTTGACCTCGAACGGTCGATGCATCGACGATGCATCGTTGATATCAGGGCGATGCATCGACGATGAGACGATCTATGGGGTGGTTTGCATCGACGAGATGTGTCGACGATACATGAGCGACGTATCGGCCATTCGAGGTCGATGCATCCCCATACCGATACCCCCTTAACGTGCCACTCGGAAGGCCCGGCGTGGGCCCCAGACTGTGAGCTATTGCACCGTGAAGGCGGCAGCTGTGCAGTGTATGCCATGACGGGCCTGTCGTGTGAGTTGTGCGGTGTGAGCTGCGGAGGTGAACGCCATGCGTCGAGGGAGAGAGAAAACTGCATAAGCACAAACCTGCCGAGCTTTTCGCGGATTTCTTGGATCGGCGCTGGGCCCCCCTGGCGGCGCCTGCAGCGCCGCCGCTGGCGCGCTCCGCGCGTCAAGGTGGGGAGTCCAGCCCCGATCCCAAGTGATCCCGGTGGAGCTCCAAAAGTTAGTGTGTTGTGCCATTGCTTTTTTGCTTTTAAGTACGGTGTAAGCTATGTTTTGCAACATACGTCGTGCATCGTCGTGCAAGCTACGCGGTGTAAGCTCAGCGCACGGGGCGCCCACTGTGCGGCAACGCGGCGGCAACGGGCGGCAACGTGGCGAAACCTCGGCAGGCCCCCGAGAGCGATGAGCGCCAACGCGGCGACTTCGGGCAGCAACGTGGCGAAACCTCGTCAGACGCCCCAAGCGCGAGGGGCGGCAATAAGAAGACGAGGAGGAAGAAGAAGAAGAAGAAGAAAAAAAACAATCAGAAACATAATAATCAGAAACGACGAGAAACCTCAGCAGAGGAACGACTGGCGGTATAAACATAAGTTTCCGGATCTCCGCGCGGATTTCTACGATCGGCATTGGATCCCCCTTGGCGCGCTCCGCGCACGGGGGAGGAGGGTCCAGCGCCGATTCGAGAAATCCACGCGGAGCTCCGAACGTTTATGTTTTTGCAGCTTTTCATGCTTCTCATGGCGGAAGGGTCACCAAGTCGGAGGCTTGGGTTCCCCTCCCCCTCAGAGGCTCCTGGAGGAGGCCTCCAGAAGAGGCCCCAAGAAGGGCCCGCATGCAGAAACAGTTTTGATCCTCGCAGAGGGCCCTCGGATGGAGGCCAAGCCACCATTCTCCTGCCTCCTCTGTCATGTGGAGCGCCGAAAGGGTGGCTTGCTTCATTAGGGACCCTCACGGCTAAGGCGTGACAGCCGTTTGTGCATGTGTCATGTGCTTCTTCATGTTTTGTTGATTGTCCCAGCTTGGGACGGCGGAGGCCCGTTCCGGGCCCTGGCACGGTCGAACACGACGCAGGTCAAAAAGCCAGCCCCATGGACGCCTGGCATCGCTCGGACGTGTGCGTTTTCTCCTCAGCGAGGACCATCGAGGAGCATCCTTGACCCTTTGCCGAGAAAACCACGCACGAAACCAACAAAAAACACAGGGAATGGACGTCCGAGCGATGGCGAGGGACGGGGTCGAGAGCACTTGGGACCCGCATCACGAAAACCTCGCGAGGGTTCGGAGGGCAGCGACCCCTCCTCGCCGATTCATGGCCGATCGGGGCTCGGGTGTTCCAACACGACGCAGGTCAAAAAGCCAGCCCCAGGGACGGGGTCGCGAGCACTTGGGGCCCGCAGCACGACAATCCTCGCGAGAGCTCGGAGGGCATCGACCCCTCCTCGCCGATTCATGGCCGATCGGGCCTCTCGGGGGCATCGCGCCCCGCCCGGGAGCGTGCGGCTTCGCAGTCCCTGAAGAAGGAACCCTTTTCGTTGGGGAGGGGCTCCGTGTTCCTTTAGTGTTTCACAGCTTGCCTCAGGTTTTCCTTATGTTTTCGATCGGAAGCCGAAGTTCAACTTATGGAAAAGAGGGGCCTCGTTCCTTATTTAGGGGTCCTTAGGTCAAGGCCCCGACTGCAGCGTCCTGAGGGCTCTGGGCCATCCGCGCTGCCCTCGAAGGTCCACTTCTGGAACAAAGGGGCTTCGTGCCTTATTTCGGGGTCCTCAGGTCAAGGCCCCTCCGCCGAGCGCCGCGCCTCCGCGAGGCTCCCCTCGGAGGCCTCCGGGAAGGAGCTCCCGGAGGGCGGGAGGGCTCCCGAGAGGCGGGGGGGTGCCCTATCGGAGGGCCCCGCGCCCCGCCCTGGTGTCAAATCCACCCCTGCCTTCTCTTCCCCCTCCTCCCCATCCTCCTCCTCCTCCTCTCCTCCTCCTCCTCCTCCCTCCTTCTCATCCTCCTCCCCTCCTTCCTCATCCTCCTCCTCCTCCTCCTCCTCCTCCTCCTCCTCCTTCTCCTCCCAGCACGCGACAGAGCTTTCGAGCGGCATGGCGGATGATTCGCTGACTCGATACACTGCGCAGCGCGGCAGCGATTCCCGCGGCTGGTCTGACGCGTCGTCTGGGTCCTGTCCGTCTGCCCGCCCCAAATCCCATACAGCCAGGGCCCTGAGGAAGGAGCCCTTCTCGTTGGGGAGGGGCTCCGCGTTCCCGAATCGTTTCGCAGCTTGCCGCGGGCTTTCCCTTAGGTTTTCCATGGGAGCTCGAAGGTTCACTGATGGAAAAGAGGGGCCTCGTGCCTTATTTGGGGTTCCTTGGGTCAAGGCCCCGACTGGTGATACCACCTCCTCCTCCTCCTCCTCCTCCTCCTCCTCCTCCTCCTCCTCCTCCTCCTGAACAAAGGGGCCTCGTGCCTTATTGGGGGTTCCTTAGGTCGACGCCCCGACTGTACCGCCGATGCTGCCTTCGCTCCAGTCCCGCCCTCGCCGGGCGGAGCCGGTCCCCCCGCTCTCTCCTCGCTTCTTCTCCCCCCCTCCCTCCCCACCAGGGAGGAGGAGGGAGGAGGAGGAGGAGGAGGAGGAGGAGGAGGAGGAGATTGAGGAGGAGATTGAGCAGGAGGAGGCGCAGGAGGAGCCTCTCCTGGCGACCCTCGACGTCGCGGTTTTGCATGTTTCCCGACCTGGGCCCAGGCCTCTCGCCCCCATCGCGCGGAGTATTCTGGTTCGCCGGCCACTCCTGTCTGATGGGCCATGCTGCCCGAGAACTCGGCCACGCGCAGAGGGGGGTGGGGGGAGGGGGGAGGGCTTCTTAGAAGCACCCCTGCTTCTTAGAAGCACCCATGCTTCCTTCCCCCTCCCTCCACCCCCTTGTGCGCGCCGCCAAAGAACGGCCCCCGAGGGCCGAAATTGGGAGAAAACGCCCGTCGCCAGGGGGCGGCATCGATACCCGAACGCTTCTTTTCACGCGGGCAGCCTTCGGTTTTTTTTGCTCGCCGCCGATGGGGATCCAGTCCTTCCCGATGGGAGCGTCGGTTTACAGTCGGGGCCCTGAAGAAGGAACCCTTTTCGTTGGGGAGGGGCTCGGTGTTCCTTATTTGTTTCGCAGTTTGCCTCAGGTTTTCCTTAGGTTTTCGATCTGCAATCCAAGTTTAACTTCTGGAAAATAGGGGCCTCGTTCCTTATTTAGGGTTCCTTAGGTCAACGCCCCGACTGTAGCCATGCTGTCCGAGAACGGCCCCCGAGGGCCGAAATTAAGAGAAAACGCCCGTCGCCAGGGGGCGGCATCGGTACCCGAGCGCTTCTTTTCACGCGGGCAGCCTTCGTTTTTTTTTGCTCGTCGCCGATGGGGATCCAGTCCTTCCCGATGGGAGCGTCGGTTTATCCACCATGCACATGCCTGGCATCGCTCGGACGTGTGTATTCTTTCCACGGCGAGGACCATTGAAGACGATCCTTGATCATTTGGCGAAGAAACCACGCACGAAACCGAACAAAAACACAGGAAACGGACGTCCGAGCGATGGCCAGCATGAGCCGTGCCCGAGCACGAGCCGTGTGCGTGGGTGGAAGGGCCGACGCCGTTAGGCCTGTCGCACGATCCTGCGATGCATCGCGCGATCGTGCGATGGATCGTATGGCGTTTTTCGTGCCCGCGTGGTTCCCTGGGATGGGGGCCACGGGTTTGCGCGGGTTGGGGGCGCTGTGTCGCGGCCACCACGGCCAGGCTGGAACATCGGGGGCAGAGGCGCGCATCTTTGGTTCGGGGCCTGCCTAGGTGTGCCCACATGGGGCGCTCCAGGAAGGGCGTCGCCCTCGAGGGATCGACAAGCTCTGTGTTCTTTCATGTATGTAAATTTTGTGTTATTTCTCTGTCCTCCTTTATGTATTTCTTTATTTCTCTCTCTCTCTCTCTCTCTCTCTTTCTCTCCCCCTCTCTCTCTGGGTGGGTTTTAAATCTCTGGACACCGAGTGCAATGCGTTGGGGTCCTACTCGCATTGTACGATGCCGATTCTTCCTTCCAGGCCGCGACGAGCTCGCCGCCCGCATGCCGTGCCGTGCCGAGCTCTAGACTGCGAAGAAGGTGCCGCCCGCGTGCGCGTGCCGTGCCCTGCGCGTGCCGTGCCCACCTCCTAGAGTGCCACAGGCAGCTGCCGCCCGCGTGCCCGCGCCGTGGCGTGGCGTGCGCGTGCCGTGCCCGGCCCGCGTGCGGGGCCCGCGTGCCGTGCCGTGCGCGTGCCGTGCCGGGCCCGCGTGGCGTGCCGTGCGCGTGCTGTGCGCGTGCCGTGCCGTACGCGCGCGGTGACGTGCCCGTGTGCCGTGGCGCGCCCGTGCCGTGCTCGGTTCCCAGGCACCCTCGAGTTATGAAAAAATCACAACGGGGGGGTTTTCATTATTTTTGGCCTTTGGGGGCCCTTACCGGCCCTCGAGACCGTCAAAAAACTACTCAGGACGAAAAACCGGTCCCGGGGAATGGGTCGAGACCTCGGGGGGTCGACGTCATGAAAAAATCATGACGTCGGGGGTCTGGGTTTTCAGGCACCGTGTGTCTTCCCAGGCAGCGTTGCTGTTCCGGGTGGCTGTTGCTGGTGCAGGCTTGCTGTGCTCTTCTCTGTCGTCGGGCTGTGACCTCCACATTTGGTGGTCGTTCTTTGGCGCTCCTGGGCGATGCGCCACAGGTTTGCGTCGCCAGGCCTCATCGCAGGATGGCGGCGTGTTTGTGCCAGCACCTTAGTGGGCCCTGGAAACGACAGGGCCATTTTTCCACCGATTCCGTTTCGCTGTTTTTTTGCCGGTTCCGACGCCGTTTTGTTGCCGATTCCGTCGCCGTTTCTTTCGCGGTTCCGGCTCCAGCTCCAATCTTGGAATCGTTTTTTTGCCGTTTTCCCGGTCGCTGTTTTTGTTGCTTTTCCATGTTCCAGAAACACTTTTTTCGGAAACGGTGACACAACGGTGTTTCAAGTGACATGGTAGATGATTCGCTGATGCGATACATCGCGCAGCGCGGTAGCGATTCCCGCGGCCGGTCTGACGCGTCGTCTGGGTCCTGTCCGTCTGCCCGCCCCAAATCCCATACAGCCGGGGCCCTGAAGAAGAAACCCTTTTCGTTGGGGAGGGGCTCCGTGTTCCTTTAGTGTTTCACAGCTTGCCTCAGGTTTTCCTTATGTTTTCGATCGGAAATTGAAGTTCAACTTATGGAAAAGAGGGGCCTCGTTCCTTATTTAGGGGTCCTTAGGTCAAGGCCCCGACTGTAGCGTCCTGAGGGCTCTGGGCCATCCGCGCTGCCCTCTTGTATCCTGTGCTGTGCTCGGTATTTGCGGTTTTCGCGCGTTGACGTTGCAGCAGCCCGTTCACAATGTCATTCGACGTGGTACATACAATCGGGGCGCTGAGGAAGGAACCCTTTTCGTTGGGGAGGGGCTCGGTGTTCCTTAGTTGTTTTTAGTTCGCATTTGGTTTTGCTTAGGGTTTCGATGGGACATCGAAGTTTAACTTATGGGAAAAAGGGGCCTCGTTCGTTCCTTATTTAGGGTTCCTTAGGGCAACGCCCCGACTGTAGAAGCGTCCGTCAGTGCAGTCAATCAACGGTTGATCTGGTCGTTTTCGCAACCGATGCGCACAATGAGATGACTGATGCTCACGATTTGCTGCGAGAGCCCGAGCCAGGCAAAATCACACATGTCACGTGGCGTTTCGGCAATGCTTCTGAAGCTGCGCACAGGACCAGGACTATACCTTGCCATTCTCACCCCATCGCGGCTGCAGCCCCAGCAGCTATGGCCCTGCTGATCTGAATCCTTCGGCGCTCCTGAGTGCTTCCAGTCAGCTTACGCCGGGTGCGTGCTCCTGTCGTCCCCCACGGACTCAGCACCCGGCGGCACGCTGCTTCGACCTCCACCCCCCCAGCAGGCTCCAAAGAGGGAGGGAGCAGGGCGCGAGAGGAGGAGGAGGAGGAGGAGGAGGAGGAGGAGGAGGAGGAGGAGGAGGAGGAGGAGGAGGAGGAGGAGAGGAGGGAGGAGGGGGAGGGAGGGAGGGAGGGAGGGAGGGAGGGAGGGAGGGAGGGAGGGAGGGAGGACGCAGGGCGCCTTTCGGCGCCCTGCGTATGCGATTTAGCTCTCGGCGAAAGAAAGCCATCCAACTGAAGGTAGAGCATAGGTGTTTCTGTCAGCCTCCTCTGAAAGACACGTGAGGGCCTGGGTTGCGGCAGGCGCACGTGCAGGGGTGTTTCTCTATTGCTGTGGCGCTCCCTTGTTGCTCCTGCTGATATGATGAGTTGCTTGGCTGGTGTAAGAAGTGTGAGCCAGGCGGAAGTACGTAGGCCTCAGCCCATCTCGGCCCCTTCTAATGCTTTAGGACGGTGGCAGGTAGGTTTAGGGGGACGGGACCCACGCAGCCCATATGATGGAAACTGTGCGGGGTGTGAGGCATAGAGGCCTACGATGTAAATCGAGGCAGCAGATGTTGCGCCATATGACGGCCCTCTACAGGCCAGTTTCGGACCTCAGGGCCGATCAGGACCGTCAAGCAACGATTCAGGATGGAAAGCCGGCCTTATGCAAGGAGGTGATCGAGAGGTTCGGGGGCCCATGTCTCGAACACGTCGCGCCGCCGAGCCTCCAGGCTTCTCCAAAGGACAATTGAACATGATTCGGAGGCTCGTGTTTCGACAAGATCGCGCCGCCGCCTTCTTATGTGTCCTCCCATCAGCTCTTCATCCTGAGTCGGTTGCAGATGGCTCCAGGGCCCGTGGAGGGCCCCACTGGCCCGGAACACTGCGCACGTCCTCCGAGGCCCCCCCCCCCGCGTCCTCCAGGACCCGTTCCCTTCGTGCCAGCCCGCGGGGCCTGCCCCCCACCCCGGCGGCTGCACGGCCACCGCGCCCGCGGCCCCGCGGCAAAGCCCGCGCGCCCCCGCGCCAGCTGTAGTTCACCACCCACCAAACCACCCCAACCCAACCCGAAGGCCTCAATTTGCCCTCCATTTCCAGTTGGGGGGGGGTCGGGGAACATCGAGAAAACACATATGGAACCCGTACCCCCCCCAACCCGAAATTCGGGTCTTCGGGTTGGGTTGGGGTGGTCTGGTAGGTAGTCAGTAGTAGGTTCGCACCGCGCCGGGCGCGCCTCTCTAGGCGCCCGGCGCCCCGCAGAGGGCCCGCGGAGCTCGGATGGCCACGAAGGGGGCGAAGAGCGCCGGGGCCCCGACAGGGACGCCCTCCCGTGGACTGGTCCTGGTGGGCCTACACCGCCGCCCTCCCTCCCAGACCCCCTCGAGTCATGAAAAAATCACGACGGGAGGTTTTTCCCTACCTAGGCTCTGCCTAGAAGGGTTCTTACTTTGTGTGCTAAAGGGGGCGGGCAGTGTAACCCACCCCGGGCGGTTCCCCCAGTTGCGCCCCCCTGGTTCCCCCAGTTGCGCCCCCTGGGTTCCCCTAGCTTAGCTTAGCTTAACTTACCCTGAGCTTAGCTTCGCTTAGCTTTAGCTTAGCTTAGCTTAGCTTAGCTTAGCTTAGCTTAGCTTAGCTTAGCTTAGCTTAGCTTAGCTTAGCTTAGCTTAGCTTAGCTTAGCTTAGCTTAGCTTAGCTTAGCTTAGCTTAGCTTAGCTTAGCTTAGCCTAGCCTAGCCTAGCCTAGCTTAGCTTAGCTTAGCTCAGCTCAGCTTAGCTTAGCTTAGCTTTGCCTAGCCCAGCTTAGCTTAGCTTAACTTACCCTGAGCTTAGCTTCGCTTAGCTTTAGCTTAGCTTAGCTTAGCTTAGCTTAGCTTTAGCTTAGCTTAGCTTAGCTTAGCTTAGCTTAGCTTAGCTTAGCTTAGCTTAGCTTAGCTTAGCTTAGCCTAGCTTTGCCTAGCCTAGCCTAGCTTAGCTTAGCTTAGCTCAGCTCAGCTTAGCTTAGCTTAGCTTTGCCTAGCCCAGCTTAGCTTAGCTTAGCTTAGCTTAGCTTCGCTTCGCTTCGCTTAGCTTAGCTTAGTTTCGCTTCGCTTCGCTTAGCTTAGCTTAGCTTAGCTTAGCTTAGCTTAGCTTACCCCATCGTAGCTTAGCTTAGCTTAGCTTAGCTGTTGCTTTCCTGAATGCTCCAACTCCTAGGTAGGGTCGCACTGGGATAATTCACTATTTTGGGCCTCTGGTGGCCCTTCCCGGCCCTCGGGACCGTCAAAAAACGACTCAGGACGAAAAACCGGTCCCGGGGAATGGGTCGAGACTTCGGGGGGTCGACGCCATGAAAAAATCATGACGTCGGGGGTCTGGGCTGAGGGTACGTGCAACATTCGTCGGCGGGTGTCCGTGTACATGTTTTCGTGGCGCAGGGGCGGGCATTACTCCAGATTTCGTAATAAAAAGGAGGGGGTCACAACCCTCCCAGACCAGAAGTTTTAGACCCCCCCAGACCATCCCTGAAAGGGCGGCACTTTGCCCAGACCCCCCCGAACCCTTCAAGACAGCTCAAATCAGACCCCCGCGCCAAATGTGACCCCCCCCCCCTAGTTTATTATGGAATCTGGAGTACACGCATTCGCCGGGGAGCCTCGCCGAAGACAGCATCGGCGCCACTGAATACACGAGCGGCGCCCCACTTCATCATTCGCCCCTCTCGTCGCCGCCGAGGGGCGCCCCCCTACGGCAGGCGGAGCCCGCGGCCCTGCGGCAAAAACCCGCGCGCGCCCCAGCGCCCCTGCAGTTGGCTCCACGGCGTGCTCCCACACGTGCTGTTTTCCATCCGCGGCCGCGGAGGTCTGGGCCCCTTCCCCGGGGGCACTGCTTTCTGGGCCCTGGATCCGTTTGTTTGTCGCCCCGTGGCCCGAAAGCGGCTCCCAGGCGCCGAGATGGCCAGGCCCCGGTTTGCGCGCAGACCACCCCCCCAGGAGGAGGAGGAGGCGGAGGAGGAGGAGGAGGAGGAGGAGGAGGAGGAGGAGGACGAGGAGGAGGAGGAGGAGGAGGAGGAGTCTCCCGGTCGGCCCCAACAGGCCAGAGAGGTCCAGGGCGGTCTCAACGCCCCAGCTCTGGGGCGCGGAGCGCCTGCAGGGGCGCCGCCGGAGGCGGCGCTGGGGTGTTGAGACCGCTCCGATCTACTCGGGGGGCCTGTTGTCGGGGGCGGAAAAGAGGGGGGTGATGACTAGGGGGGGGTGGATATCATGGCGGGGGCCATGATATTTCCCCAGATTTCATGGCGCCTCTTCTTATTTCATTACGTCCCTGGCCCCCCGCTGGGCCGCGCACATGCCGCTGGTCATGATTTGCACCCCCCCCTCTTGGACACCCCCCTCTTGGCCGCTCCCGATGTTGAGGTTAGCCAGGACTACCTGGCGGGGGGGCCGTCGGGGACAGCTCTAATTAGGGAGCTGTCCGCGGGCAGCCCGAAGGCTGACCACGCTGAGACGGAGGAAGAGCGCCGCGATGGGAATGAAACTCGGGCCGGGCGAAAGGGGGGGATTGGGAAAGGGGGGGTTACGACATCTGCTGCATGCAGCTGGTTTGGGCCCCACCGAGGGGCCCACTTCCTCGATACATGGGCGCCTCCCGGCGCCGGGAGGCGACGGGAAAATCAGCTGCGTGAGGTGATTCTCAAACCCCCCCTTTGCTATCCCCTCCTTTCGCCCGACCCGAGAAACGACACGGCGTCGGAGGTGCGAGTTCGCGCCGCGCGGGGGCGCGGCAGCGGCGCGCCCCCGCGCGGCGCCGCTGCGGCGCCCTCCGCGGTGGGGGGCCTCGGCGAGCGCCGCCGCGGCCGCAGAGCCCCGCGGCAGGGCGCGCGCGGCGACCCCGTGGGCCCGCGGAGGGCGGGGCGGCCCCGACGTCATGATTTTTTCATGGCGTCGACCCCCCGAGGTCTCGACCCATTCCCCGGGACCGGTTCTTCGTCCTGCGTCGTTTTCTGACGGCCCCGAGGGCCGGTGAGGGCCCCCAGAGGCCCAAAATTACGAAAAACCTCCCGTCGTGATTTTCTCGTGATTTTTTCATGACTCGAGGGGGTCTGGGAGGGGAGCAAGACGACACAGCGTCGGAGGTACGAGTTCGCGCCGCGCGGGGGCGCGGCAGCGGCGCGCCCCCGCGCGGCGCCGCTGCGACACCCTCCGCGGTGGGGGGCCTCGGCGAGCGCCGCCGCGGCCGCCGAGCCCCGCGTCTCCCGCGGCAGGGCGCGCGCGGCGCTCCCTCCTCCTCCTCCTCCTCCTCCTCCTCCTCCTCCTCCTCCTCCTCCTCCTCCTCGCGGAGGGCGGGGCGGCCCCGACCCCCTCGCGCTTTGGAGACCAAGCGGGGCGGTTCGGGCCTGCGAGGCCCAGGGTTTTCTCCGACGTTTTCGCCGTGTCTCGCCTGCTTTTTCCAGCATCCCAGACCCCCGACGTCATGATTTTTTCATGGCGTCGACCCCCCGAGGTCTCGACCCATTCCCCGGGACCGGTTCTTCGTCCTGCGTCGTTTTCTGACGGCCCCGAGGGCCGGTGAGGGCCCCCAGAGGCCCAAAATTACGAAAAACCTCCCGTCGTGATTTTCTCACGACGCGAGGGGGTCTGGGACACGTTTTCGCCGTGTCTCGCTTGCTTTTTCCAGCGTCGGGGTGCCTTCCCGCGGCCGCGTCTCGCCGAGGGCGCTCGGGGGGATGCCGGCAATCGTCGCGGACGGCCGCTGGGGAGAGCCGAGTACGACCCGAATGGTCAGGGTGGCCACCAACGGCAGGGGGGGACGACGGATAGGTTTTGCTAACGTTCGTCAGAGCCCCGAATCATCAGGGGTAACTCGGGTCAGGGGTAACTCGGGTTCGTTTTTCGGGAATCCGAACCCGAATTATCCCGGACCCGAGTTACCCCGGATATTTCGGGCGTCCAGAGCCCCGAATCATCAGGGGTAACTCGGGTCAGGGTGGACGACGGATAGGTTTTGCTGACGTTCGGCCCCAGACCCCCTCGCGTCGTGAAAAAATCACGACGGGAGGTTTTTCACAATTTTTGGCCTCTGGGGGCCCTTCCCGGCCCTCGGGACCGTCAAAAAACGACTCAGGACGAAAAACCGGTCCGGGGGAATGGGTCGAGACCTCGGGGGGTCGACGTCATGAAAAAATCATGACGTCGGGGGTTTGGGGCTTCTGGGGGTCACGACCAGGCCGTGGGGCCGTCAGCAAGCGGCCCGGGACGGAAAGCCCGTCCCTGGCCTCGTTCTCGCCAACTCTTGGGGCCTCCGGGGTCCCTCAGACTCCAGGCCTCCCGTCGGTGGGGTCCGAGCAGATGTGATCGGAGGATCGCTCCGCTTCCCCGATGTATCGAGGTGTCGCTCCATTGTCTCCACGCCGACAGCGCCGATGCATCGCCGACGTCGCCGATACATCGCCGATGCATCGGCGATGAAGCGCGATCCTCCGACCCCATCTGCTCGGAGCCCATTTGGGAAGCCTCTGCAGACGGCCCCGTGGAAAATTAGCCACCCTGACTCCGGATCTGCCCAGATCTGTTGTATTTTGTTTGATTTGCAAACTTCAAATTGTGTCGGGAATGCACCCAGACGATTCGAATACGTCGGGCGGACACTTCCGCTTCCGTCTCAGGAAAGTAGGGCGGCTGCTTCCGCAAATGATTACGGAAACAGCGACGGCGAAGTGAGGCGGAAATCGGCATGAAAGGGGCCCAATAAGCAGGCAGGACTGACGTTTCCGCTCTAGTTGCAAAATCGCTCCAAAAGTGAGGCGGATTGGGAGTCAGGGCGGGTCACGACGCGTCGGAGGTCTGGGGGGAGTGGCACGGCGTGGGGCTGCACACAGACAGCCCACTGGGGCAGCTCAGCCCTCGAGCCGCACCTTCCGCACCCTTCGCGCGGCGGCGGCCGCAACTGCGCGGTCACCTGCGCCGCGTGGCAGCTGCACAGACCCCTCCCCCCTGAGTAGGCTTGGTGTCGTGTCGACGCTGCAGCGACCCCACAGCGCGGACGTTCAGGGTCAATCGCCGCCAGCGGCCCATCCTCGGCCAACATGTAACGACCTGGTGATCGAAACGCCCCCGATCCCTCAGGCCGAACGATCCACGCGGTGTCAGAAGCCCACGCCAGGGTCGTCGCGACACGAGCCTACCGTAGGCTGGGGCGGCCTCAATACGCTCGCGCCGCCGCCAGCGCCGCCGCCAGCGGCGCCCCTGGAGCGCTCCGCGCCCCAGGATTGGGGCGCTGAGGTCAGGAACTTTGGCTTAGCGGCTCAGCGTGACGCTCCGCGGGCTCTAGCCCGCCACGCTTCGGCGCGACGCGCTCTCCACGTCGCGGCCTCCAGGCATCAACGTCTCGACTTGCCCCGAGCCCCACGCCCCGCGGAGTGGAGCGACACGCCATCCGCTCGCGAGGTATAGCGCGTCGCCGGGGGCCGCCGCGGCGACGCTCTGAGCACTTTTTGGTCTGCGGGGCGAGAGCGAGCCTCTTCCGCTACTAAAAGCTAGGCGGGCTGCGCGCAGCTTTAATCAGGGAGACAGGGCACAGGAAGGCGGGGCCTCAGGCGGCAGAGGGCGGGCGAGGCCTGGGGTACAATCGACACTCTAAGCACAAGCCCCAGACAGATTCGCTGTTCAGGCTGGCCAGGGATGACCAGGGCGGCCGTCTGTGCGCAACCCGCAGACCTCACCAGAGGCCTGCGCCGCGTCGACGCGGCGGCGCCGCGCTTTGAGGGGAGGCCTCTTGGGGGAGGGGGGGGGCTGTCGTGATGCAGCACGGCTGGACGCGGCCCGAAAGGCTGGTCGGCACAGCGTCTGGGAGGGGAACGTGGGCCAGAGGAGGAGACAGTACACTGATACCCGATGCCGCTACCCTTCCCTCGCTTTCGCCCTCTTGCGCCTCCTGGGAGGCCTGGCCGCCACGGCTGGATTCGCCCCGAAATCCTGGGCAGAACGCACCCCAGGATGAGGGCCGTGGAGTTGCGGCATGGCGTCTGGGAGGGGCCCTGCATCCCTCTGCGAGAGCAGGCCCACGGTTTTCCCTCGACGTGGCGGCGCCCCCGGGGGACCCCAGTGTCAATGTTCGAGCCGAGCCCAGCGACTGCATTCTGTCTTCGGACCCCGCGGGCCGCGTTGCGCGCGTCGCTGAGCATTGAAGTTTGGGGGCAAGGGGGTTGGATTAAAACTGTGTTTGGTTTCGCGGAGTATTGTAGGGTTGGCTTTGGACAAGCAGCGGCCCTCGGCAAGGTCGCGCCGCGCTGGCGCGGCAGCGACGCCAGCGCGAGCGCTCAAGGTTAGAAGGCTACCTGCGTCCTGAACTAGACCAGCCTTGAACGAGCTCCGCGGTCGGAAGGCGGGCATCGATCAGGCTTGAAGGATGCTTTTTAAATTTTTCCCAACCATCCTGTGGTGTTGGGTCCTCGTTTTGAAGAGACAGCGCCCCGCGTTCACTCCTCCTCCTCCCGCTGCCCCCTCACTCCTGCCATCATCATCATCATCATCATCATCATCATCATCATCATCATCATCATCATCATCAGCATCATCATCATCATCATCATCATCATCATCATCATCATCATCATCACCATCACCATCATCACCATCATGACGATCATAGGGAGCTCCAGCGAAGGCCCCAGTGGCTGCGCTCCCATGCGCCCACCGCACCCATTTCGGCACACCCCTCACACGCTTCGTGGCCCCATAGGGAGCTCCAGCGAAGGCCCCAGTGGCTGCGCTCCCATGCGCCCACCGCACCCATTTCGGCACACCCCTCACACGTTTCGTGGCCCCATAGGGAGCTCCACCGAAGCCCCAGTGGCTGCGCTCCCATGCGCCCACCGCACCCATTTCGGCACACCCCTCACACGTTTCGTGGCCCCATAGGGAGCTCCAGCGAAGGCCCCAGTGGCTGCGCTCCCATGCGCCCACCGCACCCATTTCGGCACACCCCTCACACGTTTCGTGGCCCCATAGGGAGCTCCACCGAGGCCCCAGTGGCTGCGCTCCCTGCGCCCACCGCTCCCATCTGCACACCCCTCACACGTTTCGTGGCCCCATAGGGAGCTCCACGAAGGCCCCAGTGGCTGCGCTCCCATTTTCGGCACACCCATCACACGTTTCCGTGGCCCATGGGGAGCGCGAAGGGCCCAGTGGCTGCGCTCCCATGGCGCCCCCCGCACCCATTTCGGCACACCCCTCACACGTTTCGTGGGCGAAGGCCCCAGTATGCGCCCCCGACCCATTTCGGCACACCCCAGCGAAGGCCCCAGGCCCCAGTGGCTGCGCCCGCATGCGCCACGGGCACACCCCTCACACGTTTCGTGGCCCCATAGGGAGCTCCACCGAAGGCGAAGCGCCCCCGCAGTGGCACATGCGCTCCGTGCGCCCACGCGCACAGATTTCGGCACACCCCTCACACGTTTCGTGGCCC